TCGAAAGAAAAAGGTATTCTGTTGGAGGAGACCACAACCAAAGAGGAGATATTTGAGGTCAAAGTGGCCAGTATGAAAAAACGTCAATTTCATATGTAAGGACCTAATATATAATTTCTGACATTATTCTACATTAAAATATGCCATTATTCGAATATCCTGCCACAATCCTACCACTAGAAACGGTTCGGTGGCCGTTGGTAGTATACACAATTTTATATAAAATAATAAGCCCAGCCTAGTTTAAGACAGCCCTGTATGTATACAGCCTTGCGATTCTGTAACTCACTTTTCGAACTCACACAGTGGTTTTCACAGCGGCGATCGCGCTCAAATCAGTCGCCGGGCCGTCTTAAACTAGGCTGGGGTACACTAGAGTTTGTGGAAAGTGAAAAATGCGAATTATAATAATTTTTTTAATTAAGTATGATCTTTTATTATAGGTAATCAAATACAGTATGATATGATATCTCATTCATGATATTAGAATGCTGCTGGTTTTTTGGTTACGATTACGGGATTTTTGTTCAGCAAAATCTTCTATTATATCCTTCAATTCCATTTTTGGAAGGATATCACTTTCTATGTACATAATTGACAAATTACTCAGTCGTTCTTGTAACATTGTTGTTCGCAATTAATTTTTTATTCTCTTAAGCTGCGAAAATGACCGCTCTACACTACAATTGGTAACTATTAGGCAAAACAATATTCTTGTAGCAATTTCTACGTTTGGAAAAGTTTCTTGCAATTTATCAGATTTTATTAGGTTATGTAAGGTGGAGATATTTAAAACCGCTGATGAGCAATTAGTCATCAATCAATGCTGTTTTTTTTTTAATATTAGCTTAAAAGAAAACATCCTGTTTTGAGGACATCTGCATCAATGTCTTCATAATAAAATTCTGCAAATTCATTGCATTTTTTGGTCAACTCACAAGATTTTATTGTTGTTAACTGACAAAGACAACTAAATCGACTGTAAATTACTTGGTATGCTGCCGAATGTATTTTTAAATGTGTATTTACTGCGTCAACTATATGTATCATTTATCTTAAATGTTTACATATCTAAACCTCCATACAAAATCCGCCACCAAACTTAATTCCCGCTAATCCCTTTTATTCCATTTTCCCAAGTTTCTGGTGGGCGTCCTCTCTTTTTTTTCCCACTGGGCCATTCCAACCATGCCATCACAAATGCGGGCAATGTGACCGGCCCATTTCCACTTTAACTTTTATTATTATAGTATAAGATCTGGTGCCCAAGGTACAAGAAACGCAAAAGAGGAAGACAATTTAAATGGTGGATAGACCAGGTTAAGGAAACAGCATGGCAGAGTGGCACAGTGTAGACAGAAATGGCGTGATTTGGAGATGATGAGATGATAGTAAGTAGAGATGGTAGTAAGTTCTCGCTGGATAAAGCTGAAGTACTGTTTATAGTTATCTTAAGGTGGTCTGTGGTCTGTCGTCCATATATTTTTGTTTCCGCCTAAACGCTCAGTTAATGTCTACATTCTTACACAGGTGGCGCTATTCCAAATAAAAAATTGAAGTCTAGATTTCACATGCCTAGATAGCGTTTTCCACATTTTCCTCTCAAATTTTGTAATTACCTAAATCCTTATATTTTCTATAATATTCAATATATAATCCAAATCAATTTGTAGATAAAAAATATAAAAATCGTTTCCAATCGGCCATTTAGTTTACAATAATGTGATTTGAATCCACGTTTTTCTGAGGGATGTGTTCAAGTTTTTAGTAAGGGCTATTGGAGGGTCCGTAGCTACAGCCGAAAGCGGTGATGGCGAGATAGCCGCTCTAAGTATTCGCCACCAATATGTTTGACGCGACTAAGCAATCAATATTTAATAGACTTTAATGTTCTAATACACGAAAAAGATTAAGTGAGACTTCGGTCTCAACACCGCGGTGGTAGCTGATTTGACCTTCTTTTGGACAAAAATCTTGAAGAAAACAATAAATTAGTAGCTGTCCCCGCGAACTGCGTTTCGAAATATGATTTTCTTTACTTAGCCTACCTTTAGTAGCTACATACTACCTAATATATGGAATATTTTTAGGGTTTTCCAATTCTTCTCTCTATTAAAACATTCTTCAGAGTTCAAAGACCCCAGCTTTTTTGATTGCCTGCGGCAGGTGAGACCCCAAAAGTAAGACAATTATTTAACAGAATATAATGCTCTCAAATCTCGTGACTCAAAATGCATGAAAAATTCATATTTTTAGTGATTTATGAGTTCATATTATACCTTATATCGCCGAAACTATAAATTCATATTTTATTTATTTATTTATTAGAGCTTTACTAATTACTCCATACAATAATTGGATATATAACATGTCTATATATGAGTATTAGTTGTGTTATTAGTTTAGCAGTGTAATATTTTCTCCTTCTCTGTCTTTTTTCTCAGATTTTTCTCAATGCATTGTTGAGATCTAATTGTCTTGTTTTGGATAATACTCTCTTACGCTGAAAGTGCATAATTTTAATTATTGTGACGTGAATTAAGTATAGTGGCGGTATTACTATGGAGATGTTTAAATAAAAGTCTTTGTTTGCTGGGTAACAACTGCCTTTAATGGTTTTGAAATATGAGCTTTTAACTAACACAAACAGGAGTAGAGAGGTTGCGACGGTAACAAAAACAAACTTGGCTTATCATCTGTCTCAGTTCATAAATCTAAATGACACTTAAGACTGAACGAGAATGTTAAAATATAATTTTTAAGTGTGATAAACACTAAAGGGCTCATATTGGCTTCAAGTGTGCGATAATTGTTTACATTACTTACAATATATATGTCACCGTAAAATTGTAGACACCGTTAGATTGTAATCTATCTCCAAATCAAAGATTATAACCTCAAACGCAATTTAACGATTATTATTCGGTAGATTGTAATCTATCGAAGTGAAACCGTCAAATTGTGAAACGGATCGCACCTCGCGTGCTGATTGGTTGAACAGAATATGCCCCGCGCCACCATATTTGTTTTTTTTGTTTCATTCCTAACTCTATGGACATATAACGGTCTACTATAAAGCCGACCAATCAGGGACAACCTTCGGACAGTTGACAATCTTAAGAATGTAATTTGACGGTTTCACTTCGATAGATTACAATCTACTGAATAATAATACGTTAAATTGTAAGCAGTTCGTTGAGGTTCACAATCTTTCGACAGTTTACAATCTCGCGACATAGATTACAATCTAACGGTGTTTACAATTTTACGGTGACATAGACAACGTATGAGTGACGTCACCCAACGTTACATTACGGCAGTTTGATACCGGCACCGCTTTTCTAGGAAACCTAAGCTTTACCGTTCGAGTTAATGTTAAGTCAGGTCCAGATGACTGTAACGTGTACTGTAACACGAATTCTACGTTTGGACGGCACTACAAGCATTACATGTGTCTTTCCGTTCGGCACTTTCGTAGCAACTGAGTGGAAACCAATATTCGTTACACGATTCGCGTTGCGTACGTGTGAAGACTGAAGTCCACACTGTTGATGCTAAATGACTCGTAATCTTACATTAAACGTTACACTTATCTGGACCCGGTCTTAAGTGCGCAAATAGAAAAAGTCTATTGCCGGGGATTGAACCTACGACCTCAGGGATGAGAGTCGCACGCTGAAGCTTCTAGGACAACTCTGCTCTAAGTAGTTCATTACATTATATAAAAATATATTCACACATGAAAAAACCTAAATGACTAGCAATTGATCTTCATAAGACCGGGTTTTTTTATCTCATATAAATTTTCATAACGGCCCTTCAAGATCCTTATATGAGATGAAAAGAAATCTTATTAAGACAAATATGATTCAGCCTAACGCATTCAATAAAGATGATTTTCGTTCCAGTTTTATGAAATATAAATATTTTATAACCGAGATATAAGGCAATATATATTTTTTTAGCTAAGTAATTGGTGACTTCGCTGTATAATATTTCTGTGTCATAGATATTATCTATCTTTATAAGTTACTAGCTGACCCGGTAAACGTCGTTTTGCCATGTATATAATTTATACTAAAAAATAGGGGTTGATTGTAGAGGGGTGAAAATTAGGGGTTGTATGTATTTTTTAATGCTGTATCATAAAAAAAATTAAAGAATAAAAATTGTCTAAAAATTAACAAAAATATATGTTTAAGGGTGGACTACCCTTATCATTTAGGGGAATGAAAAATAGATGTTGTCCGATTCTCAGACATACCCAATATGCACACAAAATTTCACGAGAATCGGTCAAGCAGTTTCGGAGGAGTTTAACCACAAACACCGCGACACGAGAATTTTATATGTTAGATTTTCCTTCTGCGGCACGCTGTCGATTTTTAGTCTATTGAAATGCTTGTTTTTACACGCTATTTATAATTTATCCTTCACAATATCGAGAAGTTATTGTGCAAATAAATATATAGGTATGTCGGAGAGATATCGTCACTCCATCGATATGGACATCATCATAACCGGGTTTAGTGGGCTTCATGTGGGTAAAGAGTGAGCACAAAAGATACTAATAATTATCGTACAGTATTTAACATTACAAATAACACTTTAAGTTTAAATTATAACGAGAAGCGGGTTAAAGGCTGACTTTTGATAACAATATTAACCACAAATGATATAGACCCAAGTCGGTCCAACGTCTCATCACCACAATGCTTCACTGAATACTCAATCAGAACTATTCTGCGTTCCCTGAACGCAGTGTCCAAAGTCAAGATGGCGTCTGGAGTCTCGACCTCGCTCGAGGCATTTGCTCGGCTCTGATTGGTCGTAACAATATTCGTATTATTTAAGTAATTATTCTAAATTATGAAACAATTAAATAATAACAAAACGAAGGAATCTCAATTATTTCCATCAGAACATTTCCTGATAATCGGAACATTATAATATGTTGCCGGCTGGGGATCGAGTCTTGCTTGTGTTTATCCGCTCCTCTTCTAGGGCGGAAATCGGCCAGTTCGGGCACAGCCCCTGCTGGCGGTGTGGTTGTTCGCGGCCTGCTGGTTCAGGACGGCACTGGGGCGGGCGTATAGCTCTTGGTATGGTGGAATCGAGGAGCGTCGGGGCTCGACTCTTGTGGGGGGCGTCGGGTTGTCCGGTGGTGGTACCCGCGCGTAACTGCTACGCGCGGGAAGTCTCGTGTCGGGAGGCCTAGAATGCCACAGTGCGAGGTGCTGGAGGTGCGGGCAGCGGAACGCGTTTGCCTGCTCGAACATGCTCCTGGCTGACCGTGCGATGAAATTGTCGATGCTCTCTGGGGATCGAATACACGACGTATACTTTTATTATTTTATTAATGCAATGGGATATATAGCAGTTTACAAATATAGGATAGCTATTAATAAAACTTATTATTTCATAAGAAATATTGACAGTATTTCAAAAACGTGTATTAAATCGCACAAAGTCACCAGAGAGCACTTAGCTAAAACGCAAGTTGTGTACCCACATCACAATGTGGGACAAAACAATATTTTTAGAACAAATGTACCGACAAACATTAATTTCCAAGGACCGTACGAAAACAGAAGGCTGTATCTTGACCATATAATAGCAAAATGTTGTTTACCTGCTCGGAAAATAAGTCTTAGCTTTTTTCTTGAAGCAGAACAGATGTTGTTGGCGTGGTTACAAGGTTCCATGAAAATTCATTTATAGAGTGATGGGCCAACAATTGAAATAATTTCCTTAACTAATTGTATTGGGCGCCTCATAGCCTAGCGGTCTTATTAAGTGGCAGCTAGGTGAGGGGTACCGGGTTCGATTCCCGGTTCGAGGGCAAGTTTTAATTTAATTTAAATTTGTTCTCGGCCTTTGGGAGGGTTGTGTGGTACCGGGCGAGTGCTTAAAACCGTACATGGAGGACACGGTCGAATTTCTAAAGACAAGCACGAATTATAAAAAATCCTATACTTGACGCTGGCTAATGCACAAATCGTGCCAGAGCCATAAAAAAAACTAATTGTATTATATTCGAGATTTCGTTTTTATTTTCTCGTAGGTTTGGTGTACGCACTAAAATAAATTTGAACTTAATTGTTTTGGTTACTTTTAGCCAAATATTACTCCGTAAAATCTTCAGGTGGCGACATTTACACGACTAAACGAAAATGTGTGTAATCTAACGTAATGTATAATGTTAATGTGTTTTCTAGAGCGCTTTGGACGTAGAAATAAAAACTGGATTAGATACACATTTACGTTAAATATTTACGTTTCATTAAGTTTCTCGAAATAAATTCTTGTTTTTTCACTTCAAATGTTTTATTTATTTAATATTGCTGAGAAAATTTGTTTGAATAACCACCAGAATGTTGATATTTGTGCTGACCTGAGTTGAGTTCAGCGGCACTTTTATGAGATGAAAATTATATTAAGCAAACATTTTTATTAGAGTGATAAATTCAATAATCTTTATCAGGAACTTAGAACTCGGAAAGTTTACTGCTAGTAGTCTTTATCACTTCATAAAATTATTATTGGATGGTTAATACTTGGCACAATACTACCTAGGTAACACTGAAAATGTTTAGAAAATGAAAAACGGCTTAATTTAGAAAGTTGCCAATACTTTTATTGTTTTTCGAAGTAATCTCCGTTCCTTTCTACACACCCCCCCCTTTCTTTGAACCCCCCAGAAAAACGGCGGGCCCCTTCTTCCTTCGGGCCCCCTTCTCCGTTCCTTTTCACATCCTCTCCTCTCTTCTGGAACCAAACAAAAAAAAAAGCCCCTCCCCCTTCCCATTCTATGGTATTTTCGTGCGCTTTCACCGCATCTTTAGGGCTCGTAAAGCGAATACCTCGAATTTTATCTTTAGCTTTGGGTTCGTAGCAAAATACCCAGCTTTTCAAAAAATTTTTTACGATTTTCGTTTCAATCAGGAGAAGTCTGGTTTCTTCTCCATTGGATACGTTGGATGTGCGCTCCAGGTGCATCTATATTATATATTTTCTGAAAACAGCGAAGACATAGAACTCCATGCCCTTAACACCTTTAATCATTTCCAGACATTTACATCTTTTAATGGCCGCATCTCACTTAACATAATATTATAGTCCAAGATCCCAGAGCGATAAGACACAACTTATTTTCTAAAGCATAGAACCTTCGGTTCTAAGTAGTCTCTGGTGTGCTTTTTAATACCAGTACGCTTATGGAGTTGGCTCGGTGACACCTGCGCAGGTACCAGGTGAGAAAGGTAACTAAAAATCAGAGTTACTTAAGTTAAATTTTAATGACTGATTTTTATATATATTTTGTAGAATATTACTCTGAAGTAATATCAAAAAAGTCAGACGCTTTCCATGGACCAGAACTTTTGTCAGACTTTTGTCAATATCCAAACAATTACACTATACACAAATACCAAAAACGGAATACACATTTAAACATAAACATAAATCACAATAACAATTTTTACCTATACAAAAAAATAAAACAAAAACAAAATATATATTCATAATAAATGCTAAATTCTAAGATGCATTGATCATTACTATATATATTAATTAATCTAGAAGAAGAATAACAAAGCCTAACGAACTTATTAATAGATACCGGAATTTTTAAATTATTTTTTACACTTTTTAGTTACATTAAATATTTATTTGCTGGTAATTTGTCTAATAATCAGATGGTATACGATACATAACTGAGTTACGTAAATAGTTTGTATTAGACCGAGGAATTTGATATAGTTGGGTTTGCCTTGTATTGTATGAAGAAGGGGTGTACCTACCTAAAAGCGACAATAAGTCAGGGCATTCAAAACATCAGGTCTTATTGTTAAATCTATATTCTAGAGATTCAATACCAAAGTATTTGAAGGAATAACTATAGTTACTATACTTTCGGAAATCCTTAAAACTTAAGAAACTTTTTTTGAATGTCTCTGCTTCAATGTATTTCTTGCAGATTGGGGACCAAACAGTGCATGCATATGTGCTCCTAACAATAATCTTAATGTATATCTATTGAAGGTACAGTAAAATTGAGTTAAAACTTTAATTGCATACTCGAATATCAATCAACTAACTAATCGTCTGGCTGTTATATTTGCCCCCGGCTAGACGATTACGCCCACTTAATACCCTGGGAAATTAAATAATCCAAAAAATAAAAGTAAAAGATCGTTGTCGTTCCTTTGTTTATAGAAAAGTTATCTGAAAAATTAAAGTATAACATAAATCACAATAAAAATATAATTTTAATGCACGAAACATTTAACTTTATAGCATAATGTATTAATTTATACATACTAATTAATATCTATAGGATTGTCACGCGCGGAAACGCGTTTGTCTAAGAGCTTGGCCACAGTTTCTGGCGGTGTGGAGCGCGGCGCGGCGAGAGGGGCTGCGAGAGGCGCGGTTTGCGGTGGTATGCCACAGCTCGACCAGTTGCGACCGCGGCATCAGTGGTGGACGTATTAAGAGTATATTAGTTAGTTTTATTAGTTTAATTTCGTCCCACAATTTTTTTATAATATGCCTATATTTGTGATGTGGATGTTTTGACATCCATATTGCTGGTCTACTCAGTATTTCACTAATAAATTGTTCTGTATTCCATTATTTTATATGAGCTCAATGCGCGATAAAAACAAAATTATTTGTTTTGGTCGCGCGATGCTAAATGCGTCCACCACTGCCGCTGCGAGCGCCGCTCTGAGCTGTGGCCGCCTTGATAGTCGATACTCCCGAGTGCATTTGTTTCACTCGCACGCCGCGCAGACCCCCGCCGCCGCCACCGCGCGGGTAGCCACCGCGCCGCAGGTCGCACCGCAATGCGCGTCGCCGATAGCTGTGGCATACTTCATACAATTTGCTCAATTTGTTTTTGCCGCTCGCCGCTTTGCGCGCCGCAAACCGCGCCGCAGGTGACTGTGGCCAAGGGGTAAGGCTATGTTCACATGTAACGCGCGTCAACGCGCGATCAAATTTAAAGAGAGTTCAGATAATGAGCGCTAATGCGCATTACGAGAGTACTCGTCAGTCTAGTTCGGTAGAACGTAGAAAATGGACGTGGAAGAGGCTATTATTTTGTGGTTTTTTGTCGATGTCAACATCTTCAATTTCACTCATTTTAAATGCGAAAACAAAATATAATTACGAAAATTAACAAAATTACATGCGATCGCGATGAAAGCGCGCGCTCAACTGAACAGCAAACGGACATTACATTAACATCATCATTACACATACATCAAAGCGCGCGTCAACGCGCGATCACCTGCGTCTAGAGTCTTTTTCTCATGTGAACAGTTGTATGAAAATACCACAATGTCTAGTCGCGCGATTTGAAAACGCGCGTCAAATTTTTGCCATCTGAACATAGCCTAAAATTACTTGAATTCACGCAGTCAGATATTCTGCTTCTTATAAATAACCAGACACCCAAATTCTAAGAAGACTATTTTGCGTAGGCACTTAGCGAAGAATCTATTATCTTCTTGTACGTAAAGGATATTTTAAGCACTGTCTGTGAGTGCAGTCGATATCACAATATGGAACCCCGTCTAAAAATGAAATTTCCCCTAGATATTGTCGAAACTCAATTTCTATGTGAACCTTTGATTCCGTTAGCAACAAAGGCGAATGCTTGAAAGGATTGAGAGCTATTCATGCGTATGAAATATTTATTGATTCCTGGATAAAGGAAACATTGTACCAACAATTCATTTAATTCAACATACAAACCTTTATGGTGTACAACTCAACTTAAATCTTATTTTTTCCAGAAAAGAATAATTTTTACCAAAACCAATGTTGTACAAGAACTAATAATTTTACGAGAATAAATTAATTTACTAAAATATATTTAAAAAAGGTATGGCAGGCCCTTTTGAGTTTCTGCCTTGTTTCCAATTGTTATACGTTGTGGAAGGAAACCACCAGCTCTGGTATTAAGGCAAATGATTGGTTGCAGTTGCTTAAAATTTCGTTACAAACCAAGACTTGGGGATTAAACAGAGTGGGGGAGAATCATGCTAGTTCATCTCACTGCTCTACGCCCTTAATTTGTGAACTGGTAGTACCATAAAATTAAGACTTTCATTTAAATATTGACGTTCATAACTGTACATATATATAATTTTATAGATAAATGTAATGTGTGTAATTAATAGTTATCTTCGCGAATTAAAAAAAAATATACGTACCTATTATTAGGATTGTATGTGAACTTTAAGGTTACAAATAATCCTAGAACTCTTTC